AACCCCCACCCAACAAATTGCACAACCCCATGATTAATTCTCCCTCCCCTTGCACATCCTCATTCCTCTGCTTCTATCCTCTCCCAACCCTCTTGGATCCTTATACTTATTCTACAATAATGGTTTTATACAATATTTATCCTTGTGGGACTGAGTCACTCAGCATAATGCTCTCCTGTCCCTCTCAATTTAGGTAATAATTTAAAAAATCATTGCTCCTGAGTGCTGCATAGTATTCCACTGTGTGAATGTACCATAATTTCTCAATCTATTCATTTGTGTGAAGAAATGCTCCAAATCACTGGCAATAAGATGCAAATCAAAACCACAATGAGGTACCATATTACTCCAGTAGCAGTGGCAAAGTTTAACAGGGCAGCAAGGAATAAATGTCGCAGAGGATGTGGCAAGATAGGAACTCTTATACATTGTTGGTGGGATTGTGAAATGGTGCCGTTCTGGAAAGCAGATTGGCGCTTCCTCAAAAAGTTGAAATGGCCATTCCATACGACCCAGCTATTCTACTACTTGGCATATACCCTGAGAAAACGAGATCTGAGGCTCAAGTGAAGATCTGTACACCAGTGTGTATAGCAGCATTATTCACCATCACAAGAACATGGAAACAGCCCAAATGCCCAGTCTTTAATTCTTTTGATGAGCATATATTTTCAGCTGTTACAAACTCCGATTAATCTGCTTGTCCTATACTTACGCATTTGTGGTGATGTTTATTATCATGCTTGTACAAAAATTAGTACTATAGTTTACTCCCTGTTGTTTTTTCCTAGAAATTTCAATAACTTTTAAGGATTTTATGACTTTCAGATTAACATTTAGGTCTTTGAGGCACTTGGAGTTAGATTTTGTGTATGGTTATTGGTATAGGTTCTGTTTAATTTTTTTCTCCAGCCAGATACCTACTTTAGTCAGTACAATTTATGAAAGGGGCTCTGGAGGCCTAATGGTAAGGAGTTGTGTACCAACCTAAAGAAACTCAGCTCCAATTCACTGGCTGCTCTGAAGGAGAAAGATGAGCAATCTTCTCCCATGCAATTTACAGCCTCTGAAAAACCACTAGAGGATTAGCTATGAGTTGGTTCTGACTCAGCAGCATCTAACAACAACAAAGTATTAAAGAGACAGTTTCCATCTTTCTTTGGTGGCCTAATGGTAAGAAACTGTGCTACACTCTCAAAGGCACACAGTTCTAACCCACCAGCTGCTCTGTGAGAGAAATACTGGCAGTCTCTTCCCATGTGATTTACTGCCTCTAAAAAGCCACTGGAGGGTCTACTATGGGTTGGTTCTGATTTGATAGCACACAACAACAAAACAACAGTATGGACTTTGGCCCCTTTCTGAACACTACTTGGCCATCGATGGCTAGGTTTCATTCTCAATTCTGTTCTTCTGGTCTATGTGTCTATTACTGACCCAGTACCAGGTGGTGATACAGAATGTTTTGAAACAAGAGAGTATGAGGCTCCTTGCTCTGTAATTTTTCTTCAATATTGTTTTGGTTATCCATGTTTGGTTTGGTTTTTTTTTCCACGTGAAGTTGATCATTGGTTTTCCCATTTCAATAAAGAATGTTGAAAGAATATGTATTGGGATTGCACTGTATCATTAGACCTCCTTAGGTAGGGAGCATCCTGAGGGCATAGAGGAAGTGTCATTTGTCCAGACGCTCTTTAAGGTCCCTGTTAGTTTCTTCTTTCTTGAAATTTTAAGTATGAATTTCTGGTGTGATATTTTCAGAATTATTTCTCTTTTTACCTTAATTCCCTTCAGTATTTTTCAAGTTCTTTAAAAACTGGAATCTTAGAAATTTTGAAGGAAATTGATATTATGTATCTAATTCTTCTGTAAATAAGGCTGTCTGAGGCTTTGTCTGACTGACTTTGGATATGTTGCAAGGAAGGACAAGTTCTTGGAGAGGGTTATCATGCTTGTAAGGGTGGAGGGACAGTGCAAGAGAGGAAGACCCTCAACAAAGTGGATTGATTCAGTGACTGGGTTAATGAGGGTAGGTGTGTTGGAGACAGTAAAGCTGGCACAGGATAGAAAAGAGTTCAGGGCTGTTGTACATAGGGTCTCTATGAGTCACAAGCCTCTCGATGGCCCATAACAACAAGGAGGTTGGAGCTCATGTGGAGAAAAAGTCACCATAGAATGTATTACAATATCATGACAGCATAACAGTAATGATTAACATTATATGTTTTACTAGAGAATCAAGCACCACAAAAAATGAACAGGCTAATGGAAACTATTTCCCAAAGTGCTCACATGACTGAAATGTAATTTAAGGAAAAGAGCAACACCTACTTCAACAATTACTAATCAACTAAACATATAGCAAAAATGTAGCTCGTCATCGCCAATTAACCACACCAGCTGAAAATACTATGATCATTAAATCTGTAAAGGCCTTCGGCAAGCAAGTTTTAAAAAAGCATGATTTTATCTTTGATCTGGATAGTAATCTATTAACTATAATATATATTATATATTACACTTCTGTTTCTAGCAGCATTAACATTAACTCACTGAATTATTTTCAAAGGACAGTTTAGTAACGAGAACTTAAAAATTGATCTCTCTTTCCAAAAAAAGCGTTGTATTTCGCAATTTATACAATCAACTTGTTTTGCAGAACTTTGCTGAAGGCATACCTGTCAACTTTTAATTGAGAAATCAAGGGACTAGATTATTTTATTGCAGGCAGAAGCAAAAGCATAACCCTCAGAGGACTGGCCAGATCTGCTAACACTAACCCCACCCTCCCACTCCCAAAGGACATGGAAGGCATCCAGTCGCATCCTCAAAACCAAGCCCTTTGCTGGGCGGAGACCCGCGCTGCCAGGCCCCGCCCCTCGCAGCTATTTCCCTCTCCTATTGGCCACGGCAGAGACACCGCCTCCTTTCTCCGCCCCTGAACCTGCACCAGGTGTCGGGTCCAATTTTCACACCTCCCCTGGACCATAGCCTTCTTTAGTCCACACCTGCCCTGGACCTGCGCCTTCTCCCATCTACACCTCCACGGCCTGCTGACCAGTTAGGGCTGGGGTGGTGCATTAATTACTCAACTGTCTCACTGAAGTAGAGTCGGAACCTATTCTTATAGCTGACCCTCCTGTGGGTTTCTTCGGGTGAAAACCACAGGAGAGGAGACTACCTATCTTGCTCCAAGGAGCTGCTGGTGGATTTGAACTGTCAGGGAGGCGCGGCTTTTGGAATAGCTGAGCAACTCCCTACAACTATACCACCAAATCTTAGTGAACTCACTGCCTTGGCCTGTCCAGCCACATAGACCACGCTCTGTGCTCCCTGCCACCTTGAACCCCTGTGTCATTGTGGTGTCCCCCTCTGACGGTGTCAGGAGGTGCGCTTCCAACCGCCTGGTGCGCAGCAGGTAATTCAGCCCCTGTGTTCCCCCAACTCACTTAAGATCCATTGAGAGAAAACAGAACAAGAAAATCTCATGAAAACCCCGCATGCCACGCCGCTCACATACCTTGATTCTTGCTTTCTCTATAAATTCTAGAGGGGCTTTCCCAAACTCAAATCCAGCGCCTATCCAAGGAATCCAGCCCCCGATGCACGGCGGTCCACGCAAGTTTTTCCACTGAAGGAGCAATAAAAAAACAACGCAACCGAGGAGAATAATCACTGTTGGGGAAACTAGTTCCATGTTTTTGTCCAGCACCTTTCAGAAACAGAAAGGTGGAAAAGTCCTACCGCTCTTTAACACTAGTCCCCTCCTTCTAATATACAACAGCCATGGGGATTCTTAACTTTCTGCTACAACTTCAGCAGTTTGCTTTTCTTTAACACTTCACCTTCCTTGCCCCGCCCCAATATTGATGTGGTTTTTGCATCATCGCTTTGGCCCAACCCCACGTTTTGACTCGTCCAGCAGCTAGGAATGGGATGTTGAGGCCGTGGGGAGCCCGGAGTGGGTGAGTGTGGAGGAGGGCCGTGCTCTGTTGCCATGGAGAACCCCGGGCTGTGGCGCGCGGCCACCCTGCTCGCGGCCAATCAAGGACTGAAGGAGCGAAGGGACAGAGCCCGGGACTACATTCCCCAGAAGCCTCGTGTCTTCCTCTTTGTTTTTCTCCTATCGGGTGCAGGTCCTGCTGGACCATTCGGGCTTGGTGCTGCTAGGAAGGGTTGCAGGTTAGCCGGGTCGGTCCTGGCCAAGCGGAGGGAATGTTCCCCATCTGGCCACTCGCCGCTTGAGAGGGACCTCCCCTGACAGGGTAGCTGGGGCACCAGCGAGAAGGGGTGCATTGCCGTCCTGTGCTGCTGCTGAATGTCCAGCTCCGGGGATGAGGAGAAGCTTTTGCCGCTCGCCCAGAGATGGCCCCGAGCCAGCAAGTTCCTGCTGTCCGGCTGCGCAGCCACCGTGGCCGAGCTAGGTACCGGGCCGCCCACTCCTGGGCCTCCCCCGCAAGTGGCCGCGGGCCAGGAGGGACAGGCGCGCGGGCGCTCTCGTTCCGGGTGTGTGCCACCCGCCTGCTGCGCCCTCTCCTTCCACACCGGCTTGGTAGATGTGGCAGGGAGGGAACAAGGCCAGCTTGGTGAGGTGGAGGGATTGGAGGCCAATGAAGTCTTTTCCTTCCAATTCCATCTTCTAGCTCCCCCAGCGGTATGCTGTTGTGCCCAAATGTGCACTTTTATCATTTTATCATGTCATTTTATCATGCCTTAAGATGACCTTTTTAAAAAACACAGCCCACTTCATTTTATTTAGTTATTTATTTTTTTTTTTTAGATAATCTGTGTGTAATTTAGATTACTGTATGCTGTTGTTCACTGCTGTGGAGTCGGAACGGACCCATAGCTGACCCTCCAGTGGGTTTCCAAAGGCTGTAAATGGAATGGGAAGGAATTGGCCATCTTCCACGGAGCAGCGGGTGGATTCGAATCACCTGCCTTTGGGTTGGCAGCGCAGCTTCTTAGCACTAGGCTATAGCCTTACTGTAATCATGGTATTTTGGGTCTAAGTTACGGACTCACCCTGTGGGACTTCACATATTAATCCAGCATTTATTGAGCATAGTTAGATACTTGAACTCTTGAGCATTTATAAGTGTTTATTAAATTGTAGGATAATGAGATGCCATTAATGTATAAATGGAATTAATGTATAAATGCTTAACTCAAGAAAGGGTGTCCATCAATTGCAATTTTATTACAATTACTATAGGGGAGTTCTGGTCACTGTAACCCTATAGAGAGCTGCTTTGGTCTCCAGTTGTTTGAATCCACTGCTGCTTAGGGGGAGAAAGATGAGCTGTCTCCTCCTATCACAGCCCCAGGCACTGAGGGAGGGTCAGTGTGAGTTGGAATCAACTGGACTGCTTGACTGCAGTGACTTTGAGGGTGTTTTTTTGAGTGGAGGTAGAATTGAAAAGAGCCAGATTCTCATCTCTAAGGATCTTACAAACTGGTGGAGAGACAAAGACAAACATTACAGTGTGCTCTGTAGTTTTTGCTGGGCACTTTCGAGTCACGCAGGACTCCTAGTGACCCTATGAACAACACATCTGAACCTTCTTCTAGCCTATATGGTTTATACCCTTATCACCATTCTGATACCCTTGAGCTGTTACTGAAGAGATCCAGCTCATTGAGGGTTTTACACTTTTGCTGTCTCTCCACCTTTTCAACCATGATATCCCTTTCTAAAGAAATAACAACATGCCCAAAGTACGTGAGATGAAACGTTGCCATCCTTGTCTTCAAGGAGCACTATAGTTGCACTTGTTGTGTACCATTGAGTCAGACCCACCTGTAGCTGATCCTCTCAAGGATTTTCAGAGGCAGTTAATCTCATGGGAGATTGCCCATCCTTCTCCCACGAAGCAGCTGGTAGATTCAAACTCGTGTCTTGAGAATTGCAGCACATCTTACCACTAGGCCACTGTGAGCTCAGTGGAAAGACTGCTATATCTGGCTTAAGGAGTCAGAGAAAGCCCAAGTCCAATTGACTTTTAGAATGGAACTATGACAACCTTGTATGAGCAGGTGGGGTGTCATGCAAGGATTTTGTGAGCAGAGAGCATCTCATCCAACCATTTTGTTAATAAGTTGTCTTTGAGTTTCCTTTGACTCTTTTACTTTGTAGTATGATAGTATTTTCATATTTTTTTCTCAATAAAAAATGTACATTTTTATTTGTAGGTATTTTCCTTTTGTCCTGTGTTAAAAGCAGTTTATTTCTTCAATAACCTCAGAACATGATGCTTCTTTGCCTTTGTGCTCTGAGGACTCTTGTTCTCTGGTCCATTATTTTCTGTCTCTCTCTCACTCTCCTTCGCCCTCTACAAGCTTGACTTGAGAAATGTTTTACTATTTATTGCTTTTACGGAACAAAAGTACATCAACTTTTTTTTTTAAGATTTCTGGATGATGAGACATGGCTCTATAATTTTGTTTGCTTTAATTTCTTTTTCTCCCTGTGAGTCAATAGCTTTTATAAAGGGGGGAGAGTGGGAGAAGCCTCCTGTTAACAATACCTACAGAGAATAATGTGGGAGGACAGTAAGGGTGAATGCAAATATGGGATGTTTTCAAGTACAAATCAATTCAGGATTAGCTCTTCAAGCATGATTTAAGTAACCAGCAAGAAAAGCAAAATTATTTTGAGAGATGTGACCAATGCAAATACTGCTGTGGTTGTTAAGATCCCTTGAACCAAACTGTTTGCTATTCTGACTCATAGCAGCCTTGTGCTCAGCAGAATAAAACATGGGCTGGCCTCGTGTTTAGCCTCACAATTGTTGTTGAGCTTAAACCCACTGTTGAAGCTACGATGCCAGTCCATCTGTCTCTTTCACTGACTCTCCAATTTACTATGCATGATGTCCTCCTTTGGTGACTTACGCCTCCTAATAACATGGCCAAAGGCTCACAGTCCTTGTTTCTAAGGAGCATTCGGGCTGTACCCTCTCAAGACTAATTTGCTTGTTCTTCGGGCAGTCCATGAGAGATAGATATGTATTCAGTGTTCTTCACCAACACCACAATTCAAACACACTAATTATGCTTTAGGCTTTATTATCCATTGTTTGGCTTTCACATGCATATGAGGCAACTTGGGCTGGAAGACGAGTGGCCTTGGTATTTAAAGTGACATTCTTGCTCTTTAGCACTTTAAAGAGTCCTTGGCAATAGACTTGACTAATGCAACACACATCACTTGATTTCTTGGCTGCTGAGTCCATGGGTATTGATTGTGGATCCAAGTAAAATAAAATCATTGCCAACCTCAGTCTTTTCCCTGTTTATCATGATGTTGCTTATTGGGCTAGTTGCAAGGAGTTATGTTTTCTTTATGCTACAGTGTAATCCATCCTGGAGGTGGGTAGGCTTTTCTTTTTATCACTATTGTTAATGTACCTTCCAGTCATCTATGATTCACAGTGACTCTATGAACAATGGCTCTGAACTGTTGCCTCTCCTGAGTTAACCTCACCATCTCTGACACACCTGTTCCCACTGCTACAGTCACTGTGTCCATCTATCACATCCAGGGTCTCCCTCTCCTGAGCTGCTCCTTTGCAAGCATGATGTCCTTCTCCAAGGACTGGCCCCTCAAACAACATGCCCAGAGTACATAAGAGGAATTTTCAAATTCTTGTCTCCAAGCAACCTGGTTTCACCCTTTCCAGGACAGACTTGTTTTTTCTCATGGTAGTCCATGAAAACTTGATAGTGCAGTATTCTTCTCTAGCACCACAACTCAAATGCATCAGTTCTTCCTCTATCATCCCTATTCCTATCCATCTGTCAACTACATAGCATTTGAGAAACCTGTCCCTGGATCAAGCTCACCTTAGTCTCTAGATGGATATAGTTACTCCTTAGCACTCTGGAGACATTCTTAACAGCAGATTTTTCCACTGCAACTCCTCTTTTGATTTCCTGACTGCTGGTGCCAAGGACACTGTGAATATGAACCAGATGAAATTGTTAACAACTCAGTTTTTTCTCCATCTGTTATTATGTTGCCTTTTGGCCCAGTGGTGAGGATTTTTATTTTCTTAATGTTGAGATGCAATCCATATTGAAGGCTGCAGATTTTGATCTTCTGCAGCAAGTGCTTCAAGTCCTCCTCAGTTTTGGTGAGCAAAGTTGTGTCATATGCATAACACAGGTTGTTGATGAGTCTTCCACCAAACTTGATGTCACATTCTTCTTAATAAAGTCCAGCCTCTTGAATGATCTGTTCAGCATACAGATTGCAAAGGTATGGAGAAAGGATACATCCCTGATGCACTCCTTTCCTGATTTTGAACCATGCAGTGTTTCCTTACTTTGTGTGGACAACAGTTTCTTGGTCTAGGTCTAGGTTTCACATGAGCACAATCAAGTGTTTTGGGATTCCCATTCTTCTCATACTAACTACAATTGTGATCTACATGGTCGATGTATTGTTCTAGTAATTTTTGGATAATCTTCAGCAAAATTTTACTTGCATGTGATGTAAGTGATATTGTTTGATAATTTCCACATTCTGTTGGATCACCTTTTTGAGGGGAATATGAATAAATATGGTTTGCTACCAGTCAGTTGACCAGGTAGTTGTACTTCAGATTTCCTGGCACACCCAGATTTCCTGGCACATTCAGGGCTGCATCTGTTTGCTGAAATATATAAATTGATATTCCGTCAATTCCTGAGGACTTAATTTTTTCCAATTCCTTCAGAGCAGCTTGAACTTCTTCTAGTCCCATTGGTTCTTGATCCTATCCTACTTCCAGAAATGATTCTGTGTTAGCAGTTCTGGTACAGTGACTCTCTGTATTCCTTCCATTTTCTTTTGATGTTTCCTGGCTACAAAATATACATATAACAAAAGATATGTATGTATGTATGAATGAATGTGTGTGTGTACTTATCTCTCTGTGTATTTACTTTTAGCAAGAATGATCTTATCAATTCTATAAGGTAAATGATTTTTTTTTTCTTTTATCCTGATGCCACACTCCTCTTAATATTTTACAGTTTTTCAGATTATTTATTTGCTCAGCATACAGATTGAATATTTGTGATAAAAGGATACAACCATGATGTTGAAGGATGTGGTATCCACTTGTTTTATTTGGTAACTGTGTCTTTATTTTTGGATAGGTTTCACCTGAAAACAATTAGGTGTTCTGGAATTCTCACTTTTCCCAATGTTATTAATAATTTGTGATCTGCACAATCAAATTCTTTGCACACTTAAGACATCACCCAAAATTAAAAACAAAACAAAACAACGAAACACACCACCACCTCAAACTCATTGCCATCCAGTCAGAACCGTCCTTCCCAGAGCTGACCTTTAGCAGGTTATCAGAGGCTGGGAATTGTACAGGAGGAGGTTGCCTGTCTCTCTTCCTTGGAGCAGCTGGTGGATTCCAGCCACCAGCTTTCAGCTGGCAGTGCAGCCCCTTATCCTTTAAGTCACCGGAGCCACCTCATTGTCTCATAGAAATGCCTAATTCTTAAGGCTTTTCAAATTTAAAATATCCATAAATCAATTGCTTAAAATAAATTATACCTATATAAGATACTTCTGTTGGGTAGAAAAACGTCATTATAGTAATTTTTCCAAAGACCAGTGAGAAGATTTAATATTCACCACACTCCTTTATTTTCACCCACTCCTTTAACTTGAAGAAGGCGTAATTAGGATTTCATGGTGATCACTGAAAAAAAAAACCCTTATGTAATGTCACTTGTGTTGACGGACTTGTCAGAATCTAGTTATTTTGACTAGTTAGGACACTAATAAAGTTATGAGTTAGGTTTTCCTTATGTGGGCCAGCCAGTTTCATTCTGTTTTAAGAGAAAAGGTCTCTCTTTAATGAAAAATATGCACATTGAAAGAAAAAGACATGCATAAAATTCATTCATGCTGAGAAAACAGCTCAGTATATGCTCTACTAGAAGTGAGTAGGCCACTTCTTTATGAAAGAAGTAACAAACCCCACATTGTATTTTCTCTATCTAAAACATCAGGTTGGTCATTAACCTATATGTTAACTTAAAAATTAAGCTTTATTTGACATTACTGAGAACTTCAATAAGTAGAATAGCATTTTAGCATGTTGCCACACACTTTTAAATTCAGGCTGTGCTTAGAAACACATTTTTCTTTTTTGCCATTGTGTGCGGCAACATATTGTTGTTATGTGCCATCGAGGCAGAACCAACTCATAACTGACCCTCCAGTGGGTTTTCGGAGGCACTAAATTATATAGGAGTTGACTGCTCATCTTTTTCCTATAGAACAGCTGGTGGACTCAAACTGTGTGCTTTTGGTTTGGCAGTTCACTTCTTTACCAGTGGGCCAGCGCAGCTCCTCAGAAAGTTACTTTTGTTGTTATGTACCATTGTGACTCATAGCGACCCTACATACAATAGCTCTGAACTCTTCTATCCTTAGCCAGTCTCACTGACTCTGACACACTACCCCCATTACCCTATTTACCGTGTCAATCCATCTCCACCCAGGGGTCTTCCTCTCCTGTGCTGTCCCTCCACCCTTCCAAGCATAATGTCCTTATATAGTATCTTTTGAAAAGATGGGACCTCATAGTTAACAGGGATATTTTAAACTGTTTCACACTGGAAAACAAACACTAAGAACTAAAGTAGATGCTTGATTAAATTTCTATAAGAATCTAAGGCATATCACCTTCCCCCTGATGCCACCTAGGTCAAATAGAGTTTATTGGCATAGGGCTAGGGAATATTGATTGAATTTTTAACAATCTCTCAGTTGATTTCGATGTCCTCTAAGGTTTGCCACTTGTCCCATGGAGGAACATATTAGTAGTGTAATTTTAGAATTTGCTGTTTGTTTCTCTGAATGTTGTGAGGTTCCCTTGTTTTGTTTTTTATTAGCAACCTTTCCTCTCGATCTCACAAAAACTCGACTCCAGATGCAAGGAGAAGCTGCGCTTGCTCGATTAGGAGACAGCACACAAGAGCCTGTCCCCTATCGGGGCATGGTGCGCACAGCCCTAGGCATTGTCCAGGAGGAAGGCTTTCTAAAGCTTTGGCAAGGAGTGACACCCGCCATTTACAGACACGTAGGTATTTATCTTGATTCTGCCTGGTAAGTTTGTTAAAAGTTCTATGTTTAGTTATGCTGTGCTTTCTATTTAGCTATTTTCAAAAGCCAGAAAGTTTTAAATAAAAAAGAAAATATTTAGTTATTAAAGATGTGTTGGGCTTTTATTTAAAAAAAAAAAAGAAATGTACACTAATGTATTTTGGGATGTGCTATCCTGATATCTGTAAGGTCCTTTTAAAACGCAGGAAAAGAAAAAAGTGTGGCCAAAATGTTGTTATTTGCAGAGTTGCTTGCGACTCATAGCAACCCTATGTACAACAGCCCTATACCCTACTCTATCCTGTGCCAATCTTATTGTCTCTGACACACCGACCCCCATTACTCCAGTCACTGAATCAATCCATCTCATCGAGTGTCTTCCTCTCCTGCGCTGTCCCTCCACCCTCCCGAGCTTGACATCCCTCTCCAAGAACTGATCCCTCCTTGCAACATGTCCAAAGTATGTCAGATGAAGCTTCAGAATCCTTGCCTCCAAGGAGCAACCTTGGTTTCACCCTCTCTAGGATGAACCGGTTTGTTCTCTTAGCAGTTCATGGTATATTCAATATTCAATACTCTTCTCCGACACCACAGGTGAAAGGCATCAGCTCTCCTATCATCCCTAGTCATTGTCCAGCTCTCTGATGCATGGCAAATATGCATATGCAATAGCATATTTTACAGTGCTATCGGAGTTAATATGAATATTCCTGTTCTGGCATGAAGTACATGCAGCACAATTGCTCTGGCCAGACTACCTTACTAACTAGGCTAACATTTCTGCTATATTTGCATATTTTCTTTTTCCTAATTATGTAAGTATTTTACATGCATCATTCTTAAAGGAAGTAGTGTTAACTATACCATAGCCAATGAGAATATTTTCCTACTCTGCTTCCAAAGTGGCATCAGGCACTTCATCAGGATAGAATATTTTAGGGTATAGGTAGAAGAATGCAAATTTTACTTCAGAAGAAAGTACCGTAATTATGTACTGGTGTCCAAGTGAGTAAGAAGTTGTGCTGCCAACCCAGAGGCAGGTGGTTCAAATCTACCAGCTTCTCCTCAGGAGAAAGATATACAATCCCTTTCCACGTGATTTTCACCCTTCAAAACGCACTAGAGGATTAGCTAGTCAGTTTCTGCTCTGTAGTAATGAATGAGTGACACTCATTTCCTTAAGTAAAAAAGGACCCTTGATCAGAAAATTATTCATCAGCTTACTATTACTAAAGTTCAGTTATTCAGATAATTATGTTCAAGTATGTTCCTATCTATTCATCAGGAACTATCTAAAGGCATGAATAGACATTATTATGATTTTTCACAATTTGTATATTTTCATTACCTTAAAATACCTCATCAGATATCTTGACATTTCAGAGTCCCCCCTCTGTATGGCTACTATGTGATTATTATAATTTTTTTCCATTTTCCTTGTTTTTTTCTTTGCTTCTCATTAGCGCTTTTAATTCAGTTTTTTGATGAGTATTTTGCTGACCATTATGTATTGCTTTACAGTTAATTCATTTCACATGCTTGGCCCTTGACTGAAAAAAAAATGCACTTATAACTTATCCAATGAAGTAATTTTTTTTCTTTCATAAAATGTCTGCTATGTACTAAGCTCTCTGTTAGGACATAAGGAATGGACACAAAATATGTCTCAAGGAGCTCATGGTCTGATGAAAAGATAGGGAAATCAAGTTAATCTCAAAACAAATAAGTGCCATAATAGGTGTTAGCCTGAGTAGTTGTAGAGGAAGTTGGGAGAAGCAGAGGAAATACAATGAAACAAAAGCTTAGAACATCAAGGGGGGAAATTAGTGAGCACTTACAGGAAAACATGTTTGAATTGAGTTTTTAAAAAGGAGGAGTAGGTAGTCATGTAAAGAAAGGGAAAATCAATTATTTAAAAAGGGGAAGAGTAAGTAGTATGGGCTTGAGGCTTCCAAAAGTCTGGCACATTTGTGTACAGTTCAGGATGATCTTGTCTCTAGAGCTGAGGGCACATGACAGAAAGATCCAGAGAGACAGGCTGGGCCAGATCAGAAGGTCCTTTTGATTTTATTAAACATACCACTGAATACACCTTTTTAACAATGTTTTACACAGTATATTCTGGAGGTCGAATGGTCACGTATGAACATCTCCGTGAGGTTGTGTTTGGCAAAAGCGAAGATAAGCACTATCCCTTTTGGTAAGTTTTACTTTGAAGATAGGTGATTGCTCCAATTTAATTAAATTTACATTAAATTTATGTAAAATAGCTTTTGTATCAATGTTGCCACAAGTTAGAGACTTAATCATAGTTATACATTCAAATAATTGAAATTTTCTGAATATTGTATACAATTATCTACATATCTAAAATGTGTATATATATATGTGAGGAGCCACAAACCACCTTCCTTGTTCTTTTCACTGAGAAACTATGAGCTTTGGAGTCCTCTCATTGCCATTAAGTCAGAGCCAATTCATAGCTGATCTTGTAGAGAGTTTTGGAAGCTACAAATCACATGGGAGGAGGTGATGAACTGGCCACCTTTAAGTTAGCAAAACAATTCCCTACAACTACTCTACCAGTTGAAAGCAGTCTTGGTAAATAACTTCAATTTTTAAGCCTTTAGTTTTCTTAACTGTAGAATAAATATCTGCCAGTAAACATTTTTGTAGTCAGATGAGATGATGGAAGGAAGAGCACACTACTTATAAGGTTTATAAAGAAAACAGGGGAGAAGTGGAATGTTGTTGTTGTTAAGTGCTCTCAAGTCATAGACAACTCATAGCAACTCTATGAATGAAAGACCTAAAAACTTGTGTAACTCATCGTTTCTCCAAGTTCATAGGGTTTCCAGAGGCAAGCTGTTTTGGAAATGAATGCCACTCCTGTTTGTTTAATCTTGTTTAATCAGGGAATTTCACCAAACACTGTCCACCATGGGTAACCATTATTGCATTTGACACATCAGTGTCTGTGTTCAGCATCACAGCATCCACAAGTTATTACTGTACAGCAAATGGACAGACACGTGCTATACCACTTAGAAGAATGTTTGACCAAAAACAATTAAAACCAGGCCTGAGGGCCGCAGATTAAAATCATCCATCTTTAGCTTGGTAGCATTGCTTTCTGTCCACTAGAGAGCTCTCTGTATTGTTGTTGTTGTTAAGTGGATTGCTATTAAAAATATCCCAAGAATACCAAAAAAGAAATAAAATCTAGAAAACATTAAGGAAAAATCGGGAAAGGGTATTAACAGGTGATTAACAAAGAATTGCTATTACTGTTCATGAAAGAATCCATAATCACATGGTTAACGTATGTTAACAAGAAGATTAGAAGTTTGAGTCCATCACTGAAAAACAATGAATTCGTATAACATTACACAACATAGGTGAGCCTGGAGGACATTATGCTGAGTGGAATATCTCAGTCACAAAAGTACAAATACTGCATAACACTACTGTTATATAATAAGGACTGACATGGGGGAGGGTTGGGGTTGAATAGGAAAAGAGTGTCTATGTAATGAATACTACACTGAAACAGATGAGGGGAAGAACAGTCTGAAAGGAGTATGTGATTAGGTATTATATGTATGACAATAAGCTGGGACAACAGTTGCATTGCAAAGTGGGCTAGGGAAGGGGATAGGGAAGGAGAAGGAAGAAAATGTGCAACAATGAATGAATAAAAAAAAGAGGTACCTTGGAAGCAGGTCATGGATCTACTTTGAAGAGCTCTGCAGCCAATGAGGGTTTTTAATAATAAAAATGTAAGCAATTATGAAGTATGAAAATTACCGAAGAGGAAGTGGTTATGAGAGTCATAAGAGAAACCATAATAATGTGCTTATCCTTGGGTAGAGAAATAAACACTCTCAAAGACTGTCAGTGGAAATATAAACTGATACAAGTTCTATGAAAAGCAACCTGGAAAATATTATGTAAATGTTGAATTTAAAAAATTACTATAGTTAAATAAACTGTGGGGTCTTAATGGTACAGTGTGGGTGAAGTAAATGCTGGAACCCTGGTGATGCAAAGCATTCATATACTAATTGAAAGGTCATCAGTTTGAACTCACCCACGGGAGAAAGATGTGACAATGTGCTTGTGTAAAGACTATAGCTTTGGAAAACTTATAGAATATTTTTTCTATCCTGTGAGATTTCCATCAATTGGAATGGTTTGACATCAAATAATTTGGTGGTTGTGGCATATGAATTATTGTTGTTATGTGCCATTGAGTCACTTGTGACTCATAGTGACTCTCTGTACAATAGTCCTAAAACCTTCTCTATCCTGTGCCAACTTTACTGTCTCTGACACACCCAGCCTCATTTCCCCAGTCGCTGAATAAATCCATCTCATCAATAGTCTTCCTCTCTTTTTCTGTCCCTCCACCCTTCCAAGGATGATGTCCCTTCCCAAGGACTGGACCCTCCTTGCAACATGCCAGAAGTATGTCACATGAAGCTTCTGGATCCTTGCCTCCAAGGAGCAGCCTGGTTTCACCCTCTCTGGGATAAATCTCCTTGTTCTCTTGGCATTCCATAGTATATTCAACACTCTTCTCCAGCACCACAGCTCAAAGGCATCAATTCTCTATCATCCCTAGTCATTGTCCAACTCTTTGACCGTCTAGCAACCAATTGTGAAGACTATGTCCGGGATCAGGCGCTGACATCATTGCTCTACTCTATTGCTCTACATCATTGCCGTACTCTAGGGAGGTCCCTGACTGCTGACTTTCCCCAGTGCAATTTGTCTTCTGATTTCCTGGCTGTTGGTACCAAGAGTGTTGATTGTGGAGCCCAGAAAACTAAAGCTGTTAACAATCTCAATGTTGTCAGTTGGCCTGGACTATCTTTGTTTTGAAGCATCACATAAAAATATTAAGCAAACCAGGCAACTCTTTATGAAATGACAAGAGACCCTTTAAGATGGAACCAGGAGTAAATCAATCCACCTGTCATTTTTGACAAGGAGATGAAGTCCATTAAATGGAAAAATTACAGCCTCTTTTCCAAATGGTGCTGGAAAAATTGAAAATCCACATGCAGAAAATTAAAACAAAAACTTTTCCTCACATCATATAAAAAAACTAATTCTAGGCAGTGCGGGAAGACAAAATAAAGTATTATAATGAAACGTACAAAGAGCTGGAGTTTGAAAATCAAAGGGACCAAACTCACTTGGCATTTCTTAAGCTGAAGGAACTGAAGAACAAATTCAAGCCTTGAGTTTCAAAACTTTAGGATGCTTTGGTCAGAATATTAAATGATCCAGGAAGCATTAAAAGAAGATGGAAAGAGTATACCAAAAGGAATTGGCTGACACAAGAATTTCATGAAACAACATATGAGCAAGTGCCTCTGGTGATGAAGGAAGAAGTTCAAGCTGCTCTGAAAGAATTGGTAAAAATAAGGCCCTAGGAATTGACAGTATACCAATTGACATATTTCAACAAACACATACTGCTCTGGACTTGCTCACCAAGTTGTGCCAAGAAATCTGGAGAACAACCACTTGGCCAACTGACTGGAAGAGATCTATATTTGTTCCCATTCCAAAGAAAGGTGATCTGACAGACTGTGGAAATTATCAAACAATATCATTAATATCACATGCAAGCAAGATTCTGCTGAAGATTACCAAAAATGCCTGGAAGAGAACATCAATAGAGAACTGCCAAAAGTGCAGGCTGGGTTTAAAAGAGGCCAAGGTACTAGGAATGTTATAGCTAATGTCAGATGGATCTTGGCCAAAAGCTGGGAGTACCAGAGGACTGTCTATTTGTGTTTCATTGACTATGCAAAGACATTTGACTGTGTGGAGCACAACAAACCGTGGCTAACTGAGAAGAATGGGAATCCCAGAATATTTGATCGTGCATATGCGAAACCTATACTTGGAACAGGAGGCAGTAATCAGAACAGAGTAAGGAAACACTGCCTGGTTCAAAATGGGGAAGGATATAACCAGGGATATGTCCTATCCCCCATATCTTTCGATCTGTATGCAGAACAGATTATCTGGGAGGTTGGGCTCTATGAGGTGAAATGTAGCATCAGGATTGGAGGAAGATTCATCAACAGTCTGCGTTATGGAGATGGCACAACCCTGCTTGCTGAAACTGAGGAGGATCTGAAGTGCTCCTGAAGAGGTCAAGGACTGGAACTTTCAGTATGGATTGAAGCTCAACATCAAGAAAACAAAGATTCTTACCACTGGGCTTATTGTCAGCATCATGATAGATGGTGAGTAGATTGAGATTGTTAACAGCTTTAGTTTGCTTGGTTCTACAATCAACACTATTGGGACCAGCAGCCAGGAATTGAGACAAATTGAATTGGGAAGGTTTGCTGTCAGAGACCTCTCCAAAGTACTGAAGAGCAACGATGTCAGTCTGAAGACTAAGGTGTGCCTGATACAGGCCATGGTCTTTGCAATTACTTGCAAAGCATCAGAAAGCTGTGCAATGACTAGGGATGACAGAAAGAGAATTGATGCCTTTGAGCTGCGGTGTTGGAGACAAGTATTGAATATACCATGGACTGCTAGGAGAACAAACAGGTTTGCCTGGAGAGGGTGAAACCAGGAGGCAAAGATTCTGAAGGTTTGTCTGGTATATTTTGGACATGTTGTAAGGAGGGACCAGTCCTTGGAAGGGGATGTCATGGTTGGGAGAATGGAGGGACAGCACAGGAGAGGAAGACACTCAATGAGATACATAGAGTCAGTGATTGGGGTAATGGGGGTAGGTGTGTCAGAGACAATAAGATTGGGAAAGGATAGAGCAATATTTAGAGCTGTTGTACATAAGGTTGCTATGAGTCACAGGCAACATGACGGCACATAACAACAACAGGTGGATCATGGACCTAGGTAAAGCCAAAACGATCATCAAAATAAAAAATAGAAGTGAATTTCATAGCCTTAATCCATGGGGTTAACTATAACCAAAAATACACAACCAGAGATCCTAAACTGAATGTATTGTGTCTTCAAAGAATTAAGTTCTTATGTTCATCAGGAAATTTCTCCAAATGAGTAAAAAAATAACCTACAGACTGGGGAAATTATATCTGGCAGTGACTTATCTGATGAGGGGCTCTTATCTAAAATCAATAGAAAACTTTAACACCTTAACAACAACAACAACAAAAAAAGACTAATAACCCATTTACAAAGTGGACAGAGAATATGAGAAGACTCTTTACCAGAGAAAACAATCAATATGGTCAAAAAAATAAGAAATGCTCTAAATAACTATTTTAGAGATTCAAATCACAACAGCAGGAAGGGGGGGGGGGACAACAGTGAAATACTGTCGCATTCCAGCAGCAAAAGTTCAGTAAATCAGTGAATAACAGTCTCAGATTTTCATGCATTGCTGGTGGCAATGTAACATGGTATAACCACTATAGAAAGCAATCTGATATTTCCTTAAAACACTGAAAATGGAAATATCATTTTATCCAGATATTCCACTACTAGGTTTGTATTCTAAAGAATGTAAGAGCTGTGACATGAACAACCATGTTTACTATATACAATATAATTATGTACAATATAAAAGAGTTGGAAACAACTCAAATGACCATCAACAAATGAATGCATAGAGAAACTGTGGTATATTCACATAGTGGAGTACTAATGAAACACAGAAAAGCAATGAAGAACTTGTGAAACACTGCACGGCATGGATGAGTACCTTATGTTAAGTGCAATGAGGCAGCCACAAAGGACAAACATTGTGTCCTTTTACAAGACCACTATTACAAAAAGCTAAAGAAAGATTTACACTCAGAATCATACTAGTATGACTACCAGAAAGAAGACTGACACAGACTAAAAAATTGATAATAAATAATTAATATGGGTGAAGGAAAAGACTATATGGAATTAATGGATGATCACATACTGTGGGTATTAATATTACTGAACAAAATATGCATTATTTAAAATATGCATTATAAACTTTATTCAGATCACAATTTAAAAACAAACTGTTAGGAAAAATAAAATTGACGAACAGTTTATGTACCTTTTAAAAGGTATATCTATACATAACAGGTTAAACGTGCAAACTGTCATATGTAACAGTGGTGAAAAGTATAATTACTGGACTCAAACTTGTTATTGTTGTTAGGTGCCATCGAGTTGAGTATGACTCAAAGTGATCCTATGAACAAAATATCTGAATCTAGTCCTGTCCTGCACCATCCTTACACTTCCTGACACATAAGAGCCTACTGCAGCAGTCACCATGTCATTCCACCTGGTTTAGGGTCTTTCTCTCCTTTGCTGACCCTCCGCCCTTCCCAACATCATGTCCCTCTCCAAGGAATAGCCCCTCTTAGTAATATGTCCAAAGTATGTGAGGTAAAGCCTCATCATTCTTGCCTCTAAAGAGCACTCCAGCTGCACCCTCTCCAGCACATATCTGTTTGTTCTTGTGGCTGTCCATGGGATGCTCAGCTCCCTGTGGTTCTTTAGCCCTCCCTTCATAACACTCTACTTTCTTTTGTGGTGTGTTTGGGCTCCCCTTGTCTTCACTGTGCCTTGAATCTCATATCTAGTGAGAACGGTATTGACAAACTTCTTATCCAGGCTGGTATTGTTTGACTAGAAAATCTGTGAAATTAATGGTTACTTTAATTTTTTTAAAAATGTATTTTCTTTTACAATTAGGAAATCAATCATTGGTGGAATGATGGCTGGCGTTATTGGCCAATTTTTAGCCAATCCAACTGACCTAGTGAAAGTTCAGATGCAAATGGAGGGAAAACGGAAACTGGAAGGAAAACCTTTGCGGTACGTTCTCCTATTAACTGCTGCCTTTCTTTACCCTCTGCTTTCATTTGCCTAATGGCCTCATGCATCATTTTCTCTAACATTCGGTAAGAAAATATTTCCAATTGTTCTACTTTGGAATTGATTTTAAGAGAGACCTGATCTGGATCTTTTCTAGGTATGATGAGATGTGCATGTTGTTCTCTGACAGACAGACTATACAGTGGATGTCTTCACTCCACTGCCTCTAATGCTACACCTAACCTACAGTAACATCCAGGCTTTGGGTTGACAGCCAAGTGCTTAATACACAGCTGATCATGCTAATGCGAAACTTACACTTGAACCAAGAGGCAGTCGTCAGAACAGAGTAAGGAAACAGTGCATCGTTCAAAATTGGGAAAGGCATTCACCAGGGGTGTGTTCTGTCTCCATACCTTTTCAATCTGTATGCAGAACAGATCATCCGAGAGGCTGGACTCTATGAGAAGAAATGTGGCATCAGGATTGGTGGGAAATCTATCAACAATCTGCATTACGCAGATGACACAACCCTGCTTGCTGAAACTGAGGAGGACCTCAAGCACTTGCTGCTGAGGGTCAGGAACTGCAGCCTTCAATATGGATTGAGGCTCAATGTCAAGAAGATGAAGATTCTCACCACTGGGCAGCATCAGGATGGATGGTGAAGAGATTGAGATTGTACACAGCTTTAGTTTGCTTGGCTCCACAGTCAACACTCTTGGCACCAATAGCCAGGAAATTAAAAGGTGCATTGCCATGGGAAAGTCTGCTATTAGGGACCTCTCCAGAGTACTGAAGAGCAATGGTGTCACTCTGGAGACTAAGGTGCATCTGATACAGGCCATGGTCTTTGTAATCACTTGTTATGTGTCAGAGAGCTGGACAATGCCCAGGGAGGATAGAAGAATTGATGCTTTTGAGCTTTGGTGTTGGAGAAGATTGCTGAGGGTACCATGGACTGCTAAGAAAACAAAACAGATTCATCCTGGAGAGGGTTAAACCGGGCTGCTCCTTGAAGGCAAGGATTCTGAAACTTCGTCTGACATACTTTGGTCATGTTGTAAGGAGGGCTCGTCCTTGGAGAAGGACATCATGCTTGGGAGGGTGGAGGGCAGGCGCAGGAGGGGAAGACCCTCTGGGAGGTGGATTGATTCGGTGACTGAAGCAATCGGGATGAGTGTGTCAGAGACAATGAAATTGGCACAGGACAGAGCAGAGTTTAGAGCTGTTGTACATGGGGTTGCTATGAGTAGCAAGCGACTCAACAGCACTTAACAACAACAACAACCAGAGCTCTCATCTGGTTTATAAGGTGCAAAATTTGGGTTTCTTTCCTGTCGTCCTGAAAGAAGGTTGACCATGCAACTGGTTCTCCCTGCCCTCACTATCCTCATTCGACCTGTGTCTTAAGACCTCTATCCCCCATGTTTACGAAAGATTTTTCAGTATGTTTTTCATAATTAAAAAAAAAAATTCTCCAATTGAAGTACACTACGCTGTCTCAGTCTTTCTTTAGAAGGCTTCAAGTTCAATCATTTGGTTTAACCTAAGAGGAAAATCTTCCTCCTTTTGCTGAGAGGAGAAAAAATAAAAATGCAGGACAGCTGGAATTAGTAAAAGGGGTTGGTTCTGTTCATTCTAACACTCTAGGTTGATAGATAAGCCATGAGTAGAGGAGGGCTTTGCAGGCAGACCATAGCTTTTTGTTCCACTGTTGTTTTAGCTGACTCTGGAGGACCTCAGCCCAAGCTTCCCTTCACTCACAGGAGAGCAGACACATAGCTGGGGAGGGGAGAGGAGGGTATAGCTTTGCTCTAGCCGTGCCATTTCCAGAAGCACAGGGTCCACTTAATTATATTAGAACAGCTTGTAATTTTTAACTAACAGAGGAAAGTAGGACTTGGATTGAATATACATGGAGAATATTAGCCATTGGGACTTAAGGTCTAGAACCATCTGATTTCTTCCGCACCTCCACTAGTTTATTTATAAAACTCAAATACCAATTCAAACAAATTCTCTCCATTTCCCTTACCCACCCCCCATCAAATTGTATATCCCAATGATTAATCTCCCTCTCCCCCTACACATCCACATTTCTCTGCTTCAAGTCTCTCCCACCATCCTTATACTCATTCTATAATAACTTTGTAAATTATTACCTAACTTGGGAAGGACTGGAGAGCATTATGCTGAGTGAACTCAGTCCCACAAGGATAAATATTGTATAAACCCATCTTGAGGTCTTAATTGACCCTCTCAGCTTGGTGTTCTTTTTAGTTTAGTTTTGCTTTCCTTCCCTTGTCCCTAACACTGAGCAGTTTTTGTTTAATTACATTTATAATATGAAGAACATAAACTTTGAAGCCAAATAGGCTAGGATTTAAATCTAAACTTTATCACATTATCTCTGTAGCCTAAGTAAAGATTCTTAATCTCTTTAAACCTCTGTATGTTCGGATCTAGATCACAATGATAGTTTGTGTTTCATAGAACTTTCCGAGTTAAAATACATCTGTGTACATAAAATGCCTCTGGCACTAAGTAAAGCTGTAATTAACATCATCCCTGAGGACAGCTTCCCAGGTGGTAATTATGCATACCTAGCAAATACAGATTATCTTTTTGATGAGCCTCAGAGAGTACAATGCCCCATTAAAGCCACACAACTACTAATTGAAAAGGGGATATTTGATTCTGAGTATTTCTGATTATATGAAGTTCATGAGTCATATTCTTTTTTAATCTATCTATAGCAAAATAGGAATAAGTTGCTAAAGTTTCATAAAGCTAAAGTTATTCAGTTTTAGGAACACTTACAGCATTGTCTTCCCAATTTTTTACCTAAAATTCATTTTAAAAAATTATTATTTTATACTGGTTTACTTGTTGTTTTTCACACTGGATTTTTATTTTCTATTAGTTTGCTTAAAATGTTCACATTGTGTTTCATACATTCATTCCCATGCATTATGTTTTAATTACCATTGGACTGTGCCCACAATTACCCTGTGTTTTCAGGGCTTTGCCAGACCTTTCTCATTTCTTTTACCTTCTCTCCACTCACCAAATTGGACACCCTGTAATTTTTCCCCTACACATTCTCATCCCTTTTCTCCCACCCTTTCCCCACTTGGGTCCCCGATACATGTTTGACTAGTTATCATTCTATTTTTACAATAACTAAAATGTCATTTTTAAAATGAGATTATGTAAGAGTAAACATTTTAATGGCTTTATTTGGCATAATAAAAAAGTTTTCAAGTTCTCAAATTCCTAGTAAAATGAATACAGAAGTCTGAGAACCACTTTTCTGTCTTCTATTAAATAGCTGTATTTGAAATATGAAATATCAAGAAAAGGGTTTTTTCTTTTTTTGTAATATGAGCACATAAGCAGAGGATGATATAGTTTTAAAAGTTTGACATTAAGAATGCTTACATCAAAGTTTGGCTTTTTTCTAAAGAAAACTTGAAAAGTTTACTTTTTGAGTTGCTTGAATTCCCAAAAATTCTGGGTAATTAAGTTTTTACTTCATACAAAGCCGTCTTGTCCAATCGCAATCTATGCACAGGATTTTCACATTTTACTTCTTCTTTTCGTTAGCTTCCGTGGAGTACACCATGCATTTTCAAAAATCTTAGCAGAAGGAGGAGTGCGTGGGCTTTGGGCAGGCTGGGTGCCCAACATACAGAGAGCTGCGCTGGTGAACATGGGAGGTAAGGGCAACTTTTGGAATTCTGATGCCTTTTAATTTGATTAATAGTTATAAGGATTTATGTCAGGGAAACAAAGCTAATTAATTTTTATTGTTTCATAACAGGCTTCTTGGACATTGTGAGGTATAACTGAGTATTTTTCTTATAGCATTTTCATTTTATTCTAAAGGAACATGTAAAAAGGGTTTCCTAGAACAAACAAAACATCCAAGAATCTGTTACAATAGAGACAAGAACACAAATATTTAAAGCCTGGTCTAGCCTGAACGTCCTTCTAAGATTCAGACTAATATATGCAACCATTTGATAGACATTCTTTTTAGAATATCAAGTTTTGTTTCTCCAGCAATCCTGCTCCTTTTACTAGAATCCATTTTGTATAGCCAGACACCACAGGGTATAAACCTGAATGTTTCCTTATGTGACCTTCATCCCTCTCCTGTATTCAATGACTAACTTATTTTATCTGCTAAATAGCTCTTTAAAGCGTTCTCTCCCTGCAGTACTTACTATCCTTAAAATCACTGATTCTACAATCCTAGCCATCATGGAGGTGGGTGGTGGAGGTTCATGGCTCATTTTCACTCAGTGTGCCTCGTACACATTGCTATGATATTACACGGAGTGTTGCTATGATGCTGAGCAACTTTTAGCAGAACTTCTGGACAAAGATGGTCTAACAAGAAAGTTCTAGCAATTTACTTCTGAAAATTAGGCACTGAACACCCTGTGAATCACAGCACTCTGATGACCACCTGATGATGGGGTGGTACAAGACTGAACATTGTTTTGTTCCAATGTTCTTGAGGTTGCCATAAGTTGAAGCTGACACAATCATAGCTAATAACCACCACCACCACCACCATCATTACCTTGCAACTAGATTATTTTGAAATGTGTGTCTTTATCTTTCAAATATATATCCTGGCCTTTGGGCATATAATATACTGGTCTGTGTATTGCTATACAGAGGTAACTTGTGGTTGCTGTGATGCTGAGAACTTTGACACTGATGTGCCAAATGTGATCATGGTTACCCATGGTGGACAGTGTTTGGTGGAGCTCCCAGATTTAAACAAGCTTGGAGGCAAGAGCGGTATCCACTTCCGAAATAGCTTGCCTCCGGAAACTCTATGGACAGTGCTAAGGCCTTTCGCTCATAGGGTCGCTATGAGTCGTCTACGACTCGACGGCACCTAACAACAACAACAACAACTTTGTAATTGGTGTCTCTCTATCTTTCAAATATATATCCCATATCCAAAGGGATATATGGAAAACATAGGTCTTGGCATGTTAACAAGGACTTTAAACCCTTTCATTGGTGCCTCTTCACTTAGGAGGTAGACTGGAAATTCCTTAACATGACACAGAATGTTTGCACTCATTGATCCTGAAGCAAAGAGTCAACCATAGTCATCAGCTAAAAATGGTTCAACTGCCTCCCCATACTAAGCTACTCTTCACCTTTGCACTTTCTGGCATCTTCCTTCCTGTTCCATTTAATTTTCTTTTACAGAACTGTTTAATACTTACCCCAGCTGCCCTCTCCCTCCAAGATATGTCTTGAGCCTCCCATGAACCATCCTGCTATATTAGATTGATTTTTATGTGTTTCTGTAACTTTCTGTGCTTATCTCGATTATTTTGTTCCTCACTCCATTGTGTTCTACTATGTACATATCTCCTCCACTAGATTAGGTGTCCCTGAAAGGCAAGGAATGTATTTTATTTTCCTAATACCTCACATGTAGTAAGTAAACATATGATGACTGAATGAATAAATCCATTCTAAGACCAGGAGGGACCAGTCCTTGGAGAGGCACAGCCTGCTTGGAAAGGTAGAGGGTCAGTAAAAGAGAAAATGACCCTCATCCAGATGGATTGACACTGACTGCAGCAAGGGGCTTGAATGTGTCGGGGATGAGGAGGATGGCACAGGATAGGGCAGGGTTTAGACCAGTTGTTCTTAAGGTCACTATGAGCCATACTTGAATCAACACCACCTAACACCAACACCACCAAGTCCACTCATTTCTATCTTTAAGGCATACCTCAAATCTGTCACTTCCTTCCATTGCTTTATCTAAGTATTTCTCTCTTCCTTCTGGACTAGTTGAGAGCTCTGGTGGTTTAATGGGTAGGGAGTTATACTCCCAAAAGTAGGTGGTTCAAGACTGCCAACTATGCAGGAGAAAGTTGAGCAGTGCCCTCCTGTGAGATTTACAGTCTCTGAAATCTCGCTGGAAGATCAACTCTGAGTTGGTTCCAACTCTTAACAGCATTGAGTTTTCTAGACTAATACAAAAGCCTTCTAATTGGTCTCCTTCTATCTTCTATAACCATTATGTTCTCATTACTCCTCTGAAACTGATCTTGCAAGGCACCAGTGCTTACCATCTGTTTCCTAAAACTGAAGCTTTGTCTTTCAGATTGCTTCCATCAAGAACTTCGGTCATCCTCAAGGTCTCTATCTCAGCCCCCATTCAATCTGCTAAACTAATCCCACTGATTTCTCTCTTTAAAAATAGAATCTTATTTCTCTTCAAATATAGGGCCCTATAAAAATAGGGTTCCACAGATTCACTGATCCAAGTCACCATCATCTCCGACCAGGAATTCTGAAACAGTTTCATATCCATTTTTTAAATTTTTTATTATTAATTTTAATGAAAATTTACAGAGACTTTGGATTTTTATTCATTCATTGTTGTACTTTTCTCCTGCCCACCTCTCTCCCCCAGTACACTCTTCTCTTTGAAAAGTAAAAGAAAAAAAAATCTTTCATTGTTTTACAATCCCTCTCCCCAAATCCACTCCACTATGCAGCCTTTGTTCTGGACTCCTTTCATGACAATAATACCTAATCACATATCCCTTTTAAACAGTTTTCTCCCTCATCTGTTTCAATGTAGTACACATTATTTATCCCATCTTTCTCAGTCTCCCCTTAACCCCAATGTCAGTCCTGTTTTACAACAGTGGCACTATGCAGTATTTGTCCTTTTTTTTTTTAATTAAAAAAATTTAATTGAATAAGACAGAACCAGACAGCTTGATGAAAGACTTTGATCCAATAAAGAGAGAGGAGAAAGGCGTGCTCCTGATGCCGGGTGTGATGGGGGCTGTCTGGACCTCGTCTGGCTTCTTCCCATCAACAGGAGAGCCAGTGATGCCAATTATGGGTGTGGCTGTCCTGAGAAGGTGCAGGGAGACCATCCTCAGACAGTGCCAGATCACCATGTCCCCAAACAAGCCCACTGCCCACCCCCTCCCTGTCCATCCTGCCCCCAGACCAACCCATCTCTGAATCTCTGAAAGGCATGGACTTAGGCTTAGACCTCACAGCACCCTCACAGTCCTGACCTCACCAGGAATCACAGGAACCACAACCTGTAGTTGTGGTTGTTGTTATGTGCCATCAAGTTAGAACCAACTCATAGCTGACCCTCCAGAGAGTTTTCAGAGGCAGTAAATCACACAAGAGTCTGTCTTTCTCCCTTTGAGCCCCTAGTAGATTTAGTATTTGTCCTTTTGTGACTGAGCTATTTCACTCAGCATAATGTCCTTCAGAGTCACCCATTTTGAATAATATTGCGTGAGTTCCTTGTTTTTCAGTGTTGCATTGTATTCCATTGCATGAGTTCCTTGTTTTTCAATGCTGCATAGTATTCCATTGTGTGCAATAAACATGGGTGTGCATATATCTGCTTAGGTGGCAGTTATGGTCTCTTTGGGTTATATTCCCAGTAATGGAATTACTGGGTCAAATCGTATCTCTATTTGCAACTTTTTGAGAAAGCGCCACACTGCCTTCCACAGTTGGTTGTACCATTTTACACTCCCACCAACAGTGAATAAGGGTTCCAGTTTCTCTACAACCTCGCCAGCATTTGTTGCTTGCTGTTCTGTTAAATTTTGCTATTCTTACTGGGGTGAGATGGTATCTCATAGTTGTTTTTTCATATCCATTTTGTATTCTTGTAGTTCACTCCGAGCTTTGATGGCTTAGTAATAAGGAATTGTGCTGCCAACCCAAAGGTACACAGTTCAAATCAACCAACGGCTGGAGAAAGATAGGCAGTCCCTTCCCGTACAAAGTACTGCCTCTGAAAACCAACTGGAGGGTCAGCTATGGGTCGGTTTTGTCTCAACAGAGTAAACAACAATTACTTTTAGCAGAACAGCCAAAATGGTGCCTCTTAAAATAGTAAACCTGGATTAACCCATTCTCTGTGCAAAATCCTCGATGATTTCTGTTGCACCGCGTGATCTAAACTCCAGCACTACTCTACCCCTTGTTGACTCTGCTCCCTCCTGTTAGTCCAGTGTTCTTGCTGTTTCTCTAACATACTAAGCTGACTCTGCCCCTCAAGGCCACAGACCTGCTGTGTTTGTTTGGGTTTTTGAGGCTGGGTCATTGCCTCTCAGTTATCTGCAAGGTTTATTTTCTCACCCATCCTGTAGGTCTCTGTTCACATGTCACCTTGTCAAAGAGGTCCTCCCTGACCATACACTTTAGAATTCCTCCTCACCCTGTGGTACTTTCTATTACATTTCTTTACCATATTTGCCTTCAGAGAACTTAACTACCATCTAAAAATATATTTATTTGTCTAGTGTCTCATTCTCTGACAGAGAGCAGGCAATTTTGTTTATTTTACCCATGGTTCTTTCCCTAAGGCCTAGAACTGTGCCTGATACATGGTAAACAGTAGGATATTTGGTGAATGACCAAATGCATTCATCCATTTTTTCCTCACTACACACCATTATTTATACATCAATGAGTGTAATCTTATAAAATTCCAGCATTTGTTTAAAACTTTCAACAGCTTTACTATATTTTTTAAAAAGTAAAACAATTTTAATATGGAATAATGATTATGCTTTTTGACTTCTAAGTAATAGGATTTCAGCCAAGCTTAGGCTAAACAAGAGTATTTATTATCATAAACACAAAAAATCTCAGAGATTACCTTGACTTTCAGTCTAGCTGGATTGGAATTTTCAAATGATATAATTGAAAATCTCCCTTTTTACCCCCTTTCCCTCCAAAGACAGCACAGTTTGCCTCTGCTTGAAAACAAAAATGCTAACTTATTCTTATGCACTTTCCTATCCCAAGACTAGTTTATTTCTTGGCCTAAAATCTCTCTCTTTATCACCTCTTCTATTCCCAGATTTAACTACTTATGATACAGTGAAACACTACTTGGTATTGAACACACCACTTGAAGACAATATCATGACCCATGGCTTATCAAGGTCGGTGACCATTTTATTTTGACTCTCATTTTCCTTCATCCTGTATCATCCCTGTCTTCCATAAATGGGATAAGTGCTGATTTTTATCTGAAATCTTAGGACATAACCCTTAGAGAAAAGGTGCTAGTACATTTGTAGGAAGTATTTTTCTTAGATTTCATTCATTGCAGTTAAAATAATACAATTTGATGGGT